GGCGCTTCCAGACTGTGCCTGCAGACCCCCTGACAGTGCCTTTCACCCCCCCCCGCAGTGACCCCACGGGACAGCCGCACGTCATGGTGGACTACTACGAAGCGCTGGGGGTGAGCCGCAATGCCACCGCCGAGGACATCAAGAAGGCGTAAGTGCGTGACAGGCATGCCCCTGCCCAAGCTAACACCAGCCCCCCCTGCCAGGCACCAACGAGGCGGGGGGCTCCCTGCGGGGGCCGTTGGGGACAGGGCCCAGCTCCAGAGGTGACAATCCAGCCTTTGTTTCCTTTGTGCGGATGCCAGAGCAGGGCCGGGCTTTGCTGCTGCACAAAGGCATCTCTTGGTGGGGTTTGGTCCCTTTGTCCCTGCTTTCAGCCCCGGGGCTGGGGGTGGAGGTGGGAGACTGGTGTTTGGAGGCATCCCCTCTCTCTGCCGGAGGGTGCGGGGGTGGCAGAGGGCTGGGGCATGGGGGCTTTGCTGGCATTAGGGTTAGAGGGACTGGAGGTCACGGGGTGAGGAGCAGCGTGTCCCCTGGCAGGGGCATAGGCCCCGCTGGGAGGTCCCATGCTGCACCCCAGGCACTGCAGGGGTGTCCCAGGGGCAGCAGAGCCTCCCACAGCTCCCACCTGGCACCCTGCTGAGGTCCTGCTGCTCTCCCTAGGGTAAGGCATCACCCGGAGGGAATAAGTGCAGACTGGTCGCTTGTCTGGGGGGGACAGAGGTCCCTGCTGGAGGGGCTTCCTGAAAGTGGGTGAGAGCAGCTGGGCAGCCTGGGTTAAGCCTAACTAGCTGCAGGTGGGAGGAAAGGGCTGTTTGTGCTCACCTTGCCCCAGCAGCCCCTGAGCGAGCCCTGTTCAATGCACGCCAACGGTGGGGCCCGAGAAGGCTCCGGAACAAACCTGTGAGCATCATCTGCAGCACACAGGCTGCACCGCTGGGGTCATGCCGCAAATATTTGCTTGGGAGGCAGAACCAGTCCAGGAAGCTCCCGTTTGGTGCCTGAGGCTGTAGGGCACTGGGTGAAGCGGGGTTGGGGTGCTCCTGCCCATGGGGTCAGAGATGTGTGCTCAGAAGGGGGGTTGCTGGCCCAGGAACCCCCGCTGCCCGAGGGCTGCTGCGTGCCCATCGCTGCCCGTCTGTGCAGGTACAGGAAGGCTGCGCTGAAATGGCACCCGGATAAAAACCCAGACAACAAGGAGTACGCCGAGCAGAGGTTCAAGGAGATCGCCGAGGCGTACGAAGTGCTGTCGGACAGTAAGAGGCCACGGTGCTGTCTCGTGTATTCCCCCCCCACCTTACCCCTTGGGGCTGCTCACTTTGGGGTGTCCAGCTGCAGGGCTCACCTGGGTGGCATCCCTGGCTGTCCCCAGGAGGTAGTGGGTCTCTCCAGCTTTACCACCCAGCTTGTGGGGCTCAGTTACCTCCCCACGCATCCCCTGAAATGGCTCTTGGAAGAGGTGCTGGGGTGCTGCCCTCCAGAGTGAGGTCTCTCCAGTGGGGCTGAGGCTTGCACATCTTTGCCTGGTGACCCAACTTGGGTTTGGGTCCAGTGCCGGTGCAGTGGGGGCTTGTGCCACCCCCCTCCTCTTGCTCCCTGCTGTTCTGCACCTCCCTTGGCCAGGGGAAGTGTTGGTGCTCCCACCCCATGCCTGGCAGCCAGCTTCCCCACAGCCCCCTCTCTTCTTCCAGAGCAGAAACGTGATGTCTATGACCGTTACGGCAAGGATGGACTCATGGGGGCAGGTGAGTGGGCATTAGCACCCATGGCGGGGTTAGTGCAGCTCTGGATATGGCCCCATCTGAAGACTCGATATGGGTCTGCGCCCCCCAGGGCTTCCCACCCCTTGGGGGGTTCCCACCCCAGACTCTACTTAACTCTCAACCTCTTCCCTCCTGCAGGACCGGGGGGTTCCAGGGCCGATGCCGGGGCACCTGAATTCACCTTCACCTTCCGCAGCGCTCACGACGTCTTCCGGGAGTTCTTTGGTGGGCGAGACCCCTTCACTGACCTCTTTGGTGAGTGCGTGGCAGCTGGGGGGGGGGAGGTGGGGGCCAGCTCTTGGGCATCTCTCTGGCCCTAAGGCGGCCGCTGGGCTTGGGGACAGAGCACATGGCTGTTCCTGGTGGGGAGACCCCATGGCAGTGCCCTGCTCCTGGCTTGCTAATGCTGATGGGGGTGGCCCTGCCTTCCAGATGAGATGCTGCCCTTCTCCGAGCTGCGAGGACCTGGTCCACGGCACCACAGGGGAGGCCACTTCTTTTCCCCCTTCCCAGGATCCTCAGGTAGGGAGACACCGCATCCCCCTGCGCAGGGTCTGTCCCCTGCCTTCCTCCTGCCCCCCATCCTGGCGCCAACCATGTCGCTTCCTTCTCCAGATTTCTTCGCCTCGTCCTTCAGCTCCGGTGCCGACGCAGGGCTGGGCTTCCGCTCCGTCTCCACTTCCACCACCTTCGTTAATGGCAAGCGTATCACCACCAAGCGGTGAGGGCAGTGCTGGCCCACTTCCCCCCTGGGGACCCTCCTCATGGGCGGGTCGCAGACCCTACAGCTTGCCACTGCGATGCTCTGGCTGCTTGACCCTTGACCATCTGTCCGTCTGTCTGTCTGTTGCAGTATTATCGAGAACGGGCGGGAGCGGGTGGAAGTGGAGGAGGACGGGGAGCTGAAGTCGATCCACATTGATGGTGAGACGTAGCACCGCAAATGGACTTGCTGGGGACTGGCAGTGCCACCTTCCGGCTCCCTTTCTCTTTGGGGACCCTTCTTCTCCTCTGGGGACCCCTCTCCTCCTTTGGGGTGGCCGGGGGATGCTGCACCTGGGCTCGGTTTTGGGCTGAGCCCTAATCAGCCCTGGTTTGGGGCTCTGCCGTGGAGGATTGGTGGGGTGGGCAAGAGTTGCTGGGACTCTGTGCCAGCTCTGGGGAGCTGGAGAGGACATGACTGCCATCCCCTGCCCGTGTCCCTGCAGGTGTTCCTGACGACATGGCGCTGGGGCTGGAGCTGAGCCGGCGGGAGCAGCAAGCCTTCCCCAGCCCACGGCGCCCCTCGCCCCCGCCGACCGCCCCGCACCGGCCCCCGAGCTCCTCACCCGTCTGCCTCTACACGGACAGCGAGGACGAGGACGAGGACTTGCAGCTGGCCATGGCCTACAGCCTCTCCGAGATGGAGGCCGCGGGGCACCACCAAGCAGGTGGGCATGGCCCCAGTGCCCCGCCGGCACCGGGGGGCAGCCCTGGCACCCCATCCTCTGCCCGCAGAGCCCGCGGTCCCCGGGGGAGCTCGGAGCCGCTGGGGGCCAGCAGCCCCGCCACAGTGGGGCATGAACCTGCCCCCAAATCAAAGCAGTGGCACTGCCCCCTTCTCTGAGCTCGGGGCTGGGGTTGTGCCCGCTCTGATGTGGGGCAGGGAGAGAAAAGGGGGGCTAGGGGCTCTCTGCCTGGGGCCCCTGCCTCCCCAGTCAAGGGAGGGGAGTCTCTCCTGCCCTACCTCCTTGCTCAGGTGGGTGGGTGGCTGGTGGCACCCCGAGGTGGGGGGCGCTGGCAGAGTTGGGGTTTGTGGCTGGAAAAGGGGCCCTTGGTGGGGTCCTGGGAAGAGGGGCAGCTTCCTGCCCTGGCTCCTGGAAGCGTGGGGTGCTTGCGGGCAGGCATGACCCGGCTCTGCCTGCTCCGCTCTCCCTGCCTGCCTGGCAGACTGGCAGGGGCTCCAGCCGGGGACCCCCCCCCCGCCGCCCCCCGCCTCTGCCCCGGCCGGGGGG